AAGCGAGGAATAAAATCGCGCTTGGAAACTCAAGAAATGAAAATGGTTCAATGAATCACACAACCGTTTGAACAGTTAATGTGGTACAGTACTGTATATGATATTATGATGACACTTTCCAGAAGCATGCTTCTGGAAAGTGTTATGATAGCAGTACTGTACGCAGATGACAAGAGTAGTGTACTGTATATATTTATCTCCAAATAAATCATTGAGCTACATCTATGTGATTCTACTAATAAAATGCTTACTCAGTGAGGTTAAAAAGGCAGAACTGTTGCTGCTTGAATGCAATGCACCCTATATTACAATGAGATGTCAAGTTTCCTGCGTGGGAAAATTGGTGCACACTGAGGGTATGTCTGTAATTCTACACAGTGACCCTGTTGTGCACCTGAAGTGTACCAAAGTTATCCTGTTGCACATGCATATCCCTAATGTGTACCAACTGTGTGTTCACACAATGATTACTCAGGGTCACATTTGTAAACATGTAAGTTGCACCAAGGTTATAGTTGGTGCATTTGCATGATACTCCTGTTATGTCACATTTTTGCACCAAATTTAGCCCAGGAATGGTAGCAAAATTTTGTCTACAGAGGTGCATGCTTGTAACCCCAGGATAGCCCATGTACACCAATTGTGACACCAGTGTGCATCATTTGTGGGATCACACCAAGAATAGCTCTCCATTTGGGTTCATAATCCTTTTTAGAAAACATGGATGTAATAATTAGCATTTGATCTGGATCAGGTGCTTCCCAATTTAGCAAGAGTTTAATAGCACAAATGTATTAATATTTTGATTATAGGACAGGTTAAAATGAATACAGTACTTTTCAATCATGGAAATTTAAAAGGCATTATAGTCTTAACAATTGCATGGTAGGATTCTCTGAAAATTTCTGTTGAAGACGTTTTTGACTTCAGGGGTTTCAATTTATATACAAGCAGTTGCAGCCAAAACATGTTGAGCAGGACGCGGTATTTGCAATCTAACGACTGCTGCATTGTCAGAGTTTTTCCATCAAACCTCTCAGCGTGACTTGCGAGCGACATCTAGTTGAAATCTTCCGCTGACAAAGAAATCGTGAAATCAGAATGGGCGCCAGATCCTCTCCCTGTTCCTCTTATGTTGTCGCTTTCTTAGACTGCTGCAGGTTTGTCAAGATCTCGAATGACGCAGGTGAGTTTTTCTTTTAATGAGGTCAAGTTGACTCAATCAATCCTGTTACCCAACCTGAGGTAAGTGCAATTGAGAAACCGTGATCTTGCAATGCAGCAGCAGCTAAGTCGAATCAAGACCAAGTTTCCAGTCTCGGGTTGTCCTGCTGAAGATACGACAGTGAACAGTCATAATATCAGTGAATAAATGGCCTGAATTCGTGCGGCAAAATTACGATTTGCTTGAATCTTGGAAACCTGGCAATAAATTTCGGTAACTGCTCATCAAGTGATAGTGCGATTCGTCAATGAAATGGTCCAGCAAGTGAGTGACTTCAAATAATAACTGTATGTCTCAAATGGTGCAAGAGTTAAAAGTGCAATATCCTGTACATATGTATACCCAAAATTATAAGCAATGGAATGCAAGGCATACATGTTTGAAAATCTTGCGAGGTTGAATCAATTGATGATCAATAAATAGAAGTCAAATCGTTTTTTCATTGCCACTCATCAAAACTCATTGCAGTAATCAGGCCAATCCAATGTTAAATAATACAATGCTGGTGAGCTATTCACAATTGTACCTAATTGAAGTTTAAGTTGGAGCAAGGGCATAAAAAGGATGTGTACACAGTATCCGCATTCAGAAATTGAATCGCACAATTTTTTTTCCATAATCTCTAATAATGGCGAAAATGTCAATAAACGTTTTGGAAAAGCATTACAACAAAATCTTGATAGAACAAATACTGTTGAAGCTAAATTTTCAGCGCAACAAACTTTTTCCCAGCTCCTGGCAGGAAGTCCATAAATGTTAAAAAAATATCATTGTAAGAAACATTTGCAGGACAACAAACTTATTTGAGGACAGATGCTCTGTATATTCTTCACATGGGAATTTCCTGAAAAAGACAGTAATAGTTTGAAATTTCTGCTTCCAAGTGTTACTGACTGGTTCTAGTGGCATTGATGGAAGCAGTAATCAATGAAAAATGCTCTTCAAAACTAAGTGGTTCCACAGATTTTAGAACAAAGAGATTGCACATCATCCTTGCAGAATAAAGAGATTTCTGCAACTGATTGAACAGATGGACACAGTTAAGTTTTCCAGAGGATCACTCAGTTTTTCAAACAATGATGAAAAATCTGAGAATGTCAGAAAAGCAAGATGTAGTTGATTAAAGGCAGATCTGAAGTGAAAATGTTTCCAGCCATCAATTTTGAAAATCTTGTTATGAAAAATTATTCATTAAAACAAACAAATTTTTCTGACTTACATTCCGGTTTTTCGCAATGCGATTTTACTGTAGTAATAACAGAAGTGTGACACAAGGAGTTTTTCATTTTGGGGAATTTTGAGTTGAAAATTAAGATCTGAGTGCGAATTTTTCAAAGATTGTGTTCAATTCCTCAGTGAGAGGATTTCTAGAAAGTTCAATGAGAGATTTCGATCGTTTTATGCGGGAAACTCTCGGATATAATCACCAACGAAATTCTAATTTTTTATTTCGTCTGTGCAGTACGTACTTTTTTTTTTGAATGACGCAACAACAAAATTGACCAACGATCGCCGATGAGTAAATTGACGTTCGCGGTTTCCTTCTCCAACGCAGTGGCAACGTCTGGCAACCCTGCTGGTCCTCTTGGCCATCAGCATCAGTAACTTCATCCCTGAAACCCTCCAGTCTCCTGCTCGCAGTCATCAGAAACCCCAGAAGAAGAAGCCGCAGCAACAGGAAGACGATTACTCCGACTATTATTACGAAGATTCCGCATTCGCTTCCGGCAAGGGCGGCGCCGGAGGCGACATCAACAACCCTTCCTCGGTAGGAGCTGCCATCTGGGACTTTCTCGGCGAATCTCTGCGCAATGGCGGCGCAGTCAACGGCGGGGTTACCAACGTGAATTACGCGCCTCACTTCGGCCCGACTTTCAACAAGATTCAAGTTGAGAAGCAGGCCGGGGAAATTCCGGACGACAAGACTGCTGGTGGAGACAACCTGGACAATCCGGACAACAGGGACAATCCAGACAACAAGGATAACAAAGACAACAAGGACAATAAAGATAACAAGGACAACATTGACCACAGGGACAAAGGAGAGACTCAGTTTGTCGCGGGATAATAAGGCATATTTCATGGTGTTGTCCAATTACCATCAGGGTTTTTCAATTTTTATATTTAATTGTTGATTGTATGTCTTTCAGTTCAAAATGACGTTGTTTCTGAAGTCATGGGTGTTGGTCTTTTGGATGCATGAACATCAGACACAGCAGGTATAAAGTTATGCACAGTTATAAATTTTGAAGTTGAAGCTCTGCTGGGGGGTGACAAAAAATTGATTTTGGAAGTTTTTGATTTCAAGAAATCAGCAAATCATCACAGTCAACCCCCATCTAACGGACTTGATTTGTGCAAGGGACGAGTCTGTTAGACAAAAGTCCTTTACACAAATTCAATTACATAAAAATTGAAAATTTCAATTTTCAACACTAATTTTAAACTAAAAGAAGTCTGTTTTGGTGGATTTTGTCCGTTGGGCGGGAGGAAAAACTGCTAGCAGAGCTGGTCTGTTTGGCAAAAATCCCTTACACAGGAGGTCTGTTAGGCGGGGGGCCACTTCACTTGGAAAAATTAACCTTTTCAGCAAGGTAAAATTGGTTATCTTCTGGGCTCTGAACTGCTGCTGGGTAAATGACCTAACATTATGCTGAAGAACTTGAAGATCAAGGTCTTTTTGACTCATTTCCAATTGAAAAGCATCAAGCTATATTTTTGTTGCTCTTCTCCTTCTGGGTTCCAAAATGGCCTCTAGAAATTTGAGTTACATAATTTTGGGGGATAAAAGTTTGAAGGTCCCCTCCCCCCCCCCCAAAAAAAAGCACAAAGGCCTGTAGAAATTTGAGATGTTATACAGTACAGTGCAGTATATATGAATGAGGCGGAAAGTCCAAGTCAGGGAAGTCGATGCACTACATCTACATTATTGTTCTTGAAGTGGCAAAAGAATATTTGACATATGATGAGGTTTTTCACTTAGAACAGTTCAATTTAGCAAGGTCAAACTGTAGTCTTTGTTTGCAGGAACAATTTTTAACATTTTGAAGTTCCCATAAAGAGTTCATATTTTATTAAACTTCCATATGATTCTGTGCCATATTCTTGCATTCAATTCTTCCCGCAACAATTTTCAAGTTATGCTTGACTTTTTGAGATGAAAATCTGAGCAAAACTTTGCATTCCATTAGTCCCACTCAATAGAAAAACACCAGTTGAAAAGTTTAGGCTTACAATTCTTATCCAGTTCGCCGGTCATTTTCGGAAAATGGAAAAGACAAGAGTTTGTTTGGTGCTTGATCTAATCAAGCAATGTTTCTTTGAAATAAAGTTGAATGTTCTGTTTATTTATGTTTTCATTCGGTATGCGCATGACCTTCATTGCTCACAATTTTAAAATCGGTCAGTACTCAGAACTATGAGTAAGATACTATGCTCGGATTATGTACGCCGTAGGAATGAAATTAAGTTATGTACCTCTGAGGAAGTACTTCGACAATATATAAAAAGTTGCATTAAGGTATTAGATGCTGTGAAATATGATCTCACACATTTCAAGTACAGCACAGTGAATGATTAAATTAGACTGAAAATCAATGTTTGTGCATCCGTTTTTCCGTGGACAATAGTGCAGAAATTTACCAAAGAAGTTGACAAAAAAGTTTGAAGAATATCACACAAGAAAAACATGAAGATGAAATCCATTAAGCAAATCTTCAATTCAATATGCATAACTATAATCGCGAGAATAAAAAAAAAGCTCATAGAAAGCATGCACTTGGGGAAAATTCTAACGTAACCTTCATCGCGATCATTTCCTTTTGATCGAGTTGACCAGCTAACCAAATATTCAAACCTTTCGTAAGTAATAATCGCTCATGTTCATTTTAGCCAAATATTTTTCTTAAATAAACGAGGAAATTTTTGCCTATACATACCTATTCCAAGATGGGCTTGCATTTCGGCAGTCTCGGGGTCAAAGTCCGAGGACTCGTCACGGTGAGATTGTCACCCTATGAGCAAAAGCCCTTCGCTGGAGCCGTTTCCAAAGGTTTCCCCAACATGATCAGACGGGTTCAAGAAGAAGTTCTGTTTGTTGTACCTCGTAAGTTGCAATATAATAGCTGTTATGCAAGAAACTTGAAAAATTGGCCAGATTTCCAGGGCATGAAATCGTACATACTGCCCGTAGGCCAGATATGGCCCACAGAGCCTGTTCATCTGTCCTGCAGTCTCTTCCCTTTTATTTTCAAGGGGACAGGTGGCACTATATATTCAAAATTTATGTTGTAGGATTCATTTTAAAAATCAACATTTTGCTTGACCCTTCATAACTTCTATAAGGGCATGCTTGGTACACTGCATAGCACTGAATTTTATTTAAACCTTCTCACTCTTAAGAGGAACATGTGTACCCTCAAAAATTGGTACTTTCCAGATATCTCAGTACAGTACCTATACTTTCCATGCACCTACCAGGAACAGTGAATTTCATTTTTCCGCATTCTGCTGAGACTGATTTTGAGAGGTGGTTAGGTGAAGTTAGGTTAGGTCAGGTTATGTTATTTACAAATATCTTTCATTTAACATAACCTGACCTAACAAATACTGAATTCACAAGACAAAGAAAAATGAGTACTGAGATAACAGGAAAGTACCAGATACCTCATGATCAAGAAATTTGGTACTTTCCTGTTATCAAAAATTTTTGTCTACTGTGGCTTGTATAAGGACTCTCCACATCGGCCCTTGGCAACAAAAAATTTACTAATAAGTCCCTGGCACACATCTTATTTGCTGGACAGCACAGCCCTATGCGATCCAATACTTAATGGATCATCATAAACACATAATCAACACTTAGCCAACTTGAGTTGCATGAAATTTGAATGGAACATCAAAAGTTGGTTGAGATGTCAGCATCACCAGCTGCTATGATTCGAGCTGTTGCAGCATGCATGTTATGCAGACATGGTTTGAATGGGGGTTTGACTGTAGTATATTAAATGATCATCATAAAAGCAGTAACATCCTGGATCTAATAATATTTCGTGAAATTTCAGTCTTCCAAGCTCATTTCAATCATACCTTTCAATTCCCAGCTTTCGTCATCGGGTATCTCATCTACGCATGGGGAGAAGCAGCTTACCAAAATAATTTGAGGAAACAAGACGGGTCCTTCGAATGTGCCATTGCAGCTGCTGGGAAGGCTGAAGAATAAGCCCGTCATAATGCCTCATCCCGTGACTAAAAAAGAATAACAAATCTTCAGTTATTTATTCAAACAAGGAAAATCTTTCAAAAAAATTTCGTTCGCTTTTATTCTCTCCAGCCCGAATTCCAATTGAAATATAGAAAGAATTCGCGCAGTCGATGAAATCCAGAAGATGGTCACTACGAATTTTTTTGTAAAATATGGGAGTTGAATCATCATGCTGAACGTTTGGATTTCCGTTTCCTGCTCTCAATGGCAGTTTGGAGGCTTTTCATTGGCACCGATTTTGAAATTTCTTGATCATGAGGTTTCTGGTAGGTCCGGCAACAAATCACATGCTTGTCATCGTAAATACGAAAGTACTGTAGAACAAAAAAATTATACAATATACATTTTCGAAAAAAATAACCTCTTCGCGTTTCTAATGTGGTATCGATGTGTACTCACTCGAGAAAGACAGAATCAGAGTGATGGCGAAATTGCTAAATGACGGAGACCCAGATCCGGAATTCTTGGCGGCTGGAATGAGAAGTTCATTATCGGTAGTTTTCAATTGAATTACAGTACTGAGAAAAATCAGTCATTAGCCAAGCTTCTTTTTTTTGCAATGAATAACTACAAAATAGTACGAAAATTAGGTTAGCAGTATGGCTTTTCTTGAATAAAATGCACATGTACTAATTTTATCTTACACCAGGAACGATGTTGGGGGTCATTCTTACGCCAACAATGGTGACTCGTAAGCAGAAACGTTGCACATCATAGTTCACCATGAAATTTAAACTTGACACACCAAGAAATTGGTCAAAATCCCGGCTTAAACCCTGGATATTCTGTTTAGAGTTCTTATAAAGCCATGAGAAGCTTCACTAACCCTCAGTGAATTATTTATGTCAAAGATTACGAAATGCTTCAATTATAAAGCGAGGAAAAAATGATGATAATGAGTGTGAAGACCACTTCTTCGACTCTGTAACTCCCAGAATTTTGCAGCAATTGAACAAGCTCAAGTTCAAACCTAAGTTAGCTTGAAATACAGTATCATACATGTGCTTACTGGAGTACCAAGCTCACTTTTCAAAATAAAAAGAAAGAAGAAAGTCGGTTTGAGACATGGGCGGGTGAAACATTTTTAAAAGAATTTGAAAACTTTGAAATACAGCACATCAAACTTGATTCCAACATGAAACTTCAAACCGTTTTCAAAATGGAAATGATAAAAAATTAAAATTTAATTCAACACACAATTTAAGTCAGCATTTAAATTCTGATGCATGATATTTTAAAAATATTTCAAGTTTCAGTCTCTTAAAATGGGATACTCGGGGATTCATGTTTATTCAAATTTTAGGTTAAAAATCTCGGGACATACGCCTTACTCGAGGGTAAGGCGTTTACTTATCTCAGTATGTACGGCTGATCATATCGAAATAAGAGTATGCAACAAGCCAACAACGCACGCACTACAATTAGCAAGAATTTGAGATTTTTCCTCTGATGATCTGCTGAGCTCATGTTGATACCAATTTAAATGGCCTTCATAACTAAATTTGAATCGAATAAGATGAGGAAGAGGGCCTGTGTACAGTAAGAGACAACGTATTCGTGTCCTCAATTAATAGGTTAATTGATTCCAAAAGGCGGAGAAATCCGGTCAACATACAGCCAAGATAATTCTTAATATTTTTCATGTGCGGCACATTCAGGTAACCTTCTTGAACCTCAGCCCCAAATAACAAGTGCACCCCATTTTTTGCGACTGAAAATTTTAAATATTTAAAAAACACGAGGCATCAGAATGCAAATGTGAACATGAATTCAAGCTGAATTCAATTAATTTTAAATTGCTTTAAATTTAAAAAGTGCTCGTCGAAAATCTCCCATCACATTCAAGTGTGAGGCACAAAAAAATTTTCAATTTGTTTTTCTTTTAATGCTCGAGTATGAGGCCCAACCCCTTTTCCCTATCAATTTTGAGAAAAAGGTGCGCCTGGTACTCAAGTATGAATACGGTATGTTGCACAAACTCACCTTTAACCTTCGCAGCACTGTTTGTACCGGGCAACTCGGGTACTTCCTCTTCAACCTCCACAGGCTGAATAATGCCAGATGACTTCCCGAAACTCTTGTCGTCATCCTTGCTTTCCTGCTGCTGGGGGTCCTTTTTACCAGGCAAAGACTGAGGTCGACCCTTTCCGACCTCAACCTTGTCTTCCTGCTCTTCTTCCATTTCTTCTTCATCTTCCTCCGCCTTCTCCGCATCATCATCCACGTCGCCGCCTTTCTCACCTTTGCCTGCCTGCTTGTCAGGGATCACGCCATAGTATTCCTCAGGTATCTTGGCGTCTTCGTCCCCGTGAGCCAAGTCGAGCCCTTCTTCTTCCGGGGTCACGTCGACTGAGTCTTCCGACTGGAAACTCGGTCGTTTCCAGCGTTTATTCGTCGTCGTTGTTTCGACATTTGCTTGAGTGCTGGTTAAAGCGGGTGTTGTTGTGGTTGTTGTCTCGGGATCATTCGTCGAAGATTTCTCTTCAATCGGTTCGGCTTGTTCCGTGGTTTCCTCAGTGGTCGACGAAGCAACCGAGTCTGCAGTCGTGGTTTCAGCAGCAGCAGCAGACGCGGGTTCGTCATTGCTAGAGTTGTAGCTGTTCTTAATCGAATCCATGCCTGTGTCAAAGTCGACAGCGTCGACGAAAGACGCATCTGCATCGTGGATCAAGTGAGGTTCTTCGTGACCCGGATTCGTGTCGTGGTATTGTTTCTCATCGTCGTCGACGGGGTTCTGGTTCTTTGATGGAGGGTCACGGGTGTCAGTGGGGTAATCATCCATGTCGTCGTCTTCGGCATATTCTGGAGGTTCACGAACGGGTTCGTCAGGATTGGGGTTCGGCAGTGGAAACGAAGACGAAGCTGCTGCTGATGAAGACGATGCGTCGACTCCTGCTGAGATCGATGGGTATTCGTCCATGTCGTCGAGGATGGTTTCGTTCCAGGAGACCTGGTGGGTCTGGTTCTGGTTGTCTTCGTGGTGGTGGTATTTTTGCTGTTGCTGCTGATGACGATGATCATCATGATATTGGGTTTCGTCCTCTGAAGATCCTGGCAGTAGGATGGGACTTGGTATGGCTTCAAGATGCGTGTTGTCCGTATCTGGATACTCGTGCGGTTGTTGAGGATCATCTCTATGATCTTGAAGGATTACACAAAAAATAGATGTCAGAACAAAAGTAAAGCTCTTATTTGAGCAAATTAACCACTTCAAGTCGAACTTCAAGGGACCAGCAAAAAATTTCGATTTAGGGAGGTTTCCAGCAGTTCAAGAAACAATCATTTTTGTTGGAAGAATGAAAGAAAAATTACAGGAAATCATAATTACTGATATTCTGAACCTTAAATTGCTTCTTAAATGAGTTAACAGGATGCTGAACTTAGAGGCAAGGGTTCGTTTTTCCGATTAGCCCTTCAATTCCTTTCAAAACATATCAAGTTATATGTTTATAGTTTTTTCTCCTGTGTCAATAAAATACTAGACAAAATGCCTCCAGAAAATTCAAGTTATGGAGGTTTGAGAGGAGAAGCCTAGGAGTTACAGAGGTTTGTAGAAAATTGTTTCTGAGGAAATTCCGACAGGGAGTCCAAAAAGTCCGAAATAGGGAGGTGATCGACTTGGGGAGGTTCGAGTCATATGCGTAAGAGTTGAAAAGTCGCTTGGTCTTCGCAATAATGAGGTTTGGATTTCGGAAAATCAATTCACCATAAACGTCGTCCCGATAGTCATCCGGATGACCGTGAGCTTGCTGATGTGTTTGATGACTGCCACCTAGCGGCGGATGCGCGCTATTGACAGTTTGATTACTCATTCCTTCAAAATGCGGCTTCAATGGAGTGTCACCTATCGGTCGAGGCTTGGATCCATTCGGCTTTGATTCGTTCTTTTCATTCAGGACTTCTGCTTCTTCCAACAGCATGTCTTCAACCACTGCTGTCGTTGTCTCCTGATGAGGCCCAGAACCATTCTTGCTTCCCTTGATCATCTTGGTATCCTCCTCCAGGAATCCCTCTACACCAGCAGCAGAAGCTACTTCTTCATCTTGATGATGATGGGGTTTAATATGGAAATTTTCTCGCGAGTCGTCGAGTGAAGACAAATCCACCGAATGATGTACCGATTCGTCGTCTTTCGAAGATTCGTCGTCCGGGACGTTCAGATCAGCAGCGTTGAGCATCGTGTCTACAGGTTTCCCT